CTAGGGAGGATTTTAAATCGGGTTTTTCTTAAGAGTAATTTTAAATAGCACAGCTTTAAATATTCGGTTTTAATTGGTTTTACTTGGGTGGGGTTGTAAATGTGTTTATGTTTTTTAATATGCTGTGAGCCGCCCTGAGTCCCGTTGGGAGAAGGGCGGGATATAAATCAAATAAAATAAATAAATAAATAAATAAATATATGTACATGTATTTTAATATTGAATAATACTCAAGTTATAATTGATTAATAACTGAAGTGCTTTAACTTCTTGCCCTTAAATCCAGTGTTTTCTTTTTAGGAAGTGGATGCTACCTACATGAACAAACCAGAACTAGAAACTAAATTACAATCTTTAGTTGAGGAGATTGATTTCCTCAGAGTCCTACATGAAATGGTAAGTCTCAATAGTATTTTCTTTGAACTGTGCTCTATTATGCAATTATATGTCCTGCCAAAAAGATAGCTACAGTATTCATTTACAATCCTGAAGCAGTTTCATTGTGAGAAGTCCCCTCTCCCTTGACCCTAGATAAACAAGTTTGCTAAAAAAGAAATTTGTAGCATATTTTCAGGAAGGAGGGAGGGAGGGAGGGAGGGAGGAAGGGAGGGAGGAAGGAAGGAATGATAAATTAAAATCAAAAGATGTTGAAAATTCCTAAAGTAATTTAAAGAACATTAAGACTTAAAAAAATAGGTTCAGAATTAAGACTTATGTAACAAATCCTGCAGTTCCAGAACTCAAAGATCTAAAGATAAATGCTCTCATTAGACAAAAACATATTGATCAAGTATTTTGTAACCCCAAAATTCTCTTGTACAAGTTCCAAATAATTGATTGTACCTAGGCTATAGATCAGTGATGGTGAACCTTTTAGAGACTGAGTGCCCAAACTGCAACCCAAAACCCACATGCATCATCGAGTGCCAGGTGGGTGTGGCCCATTGGCTGGGCGTGGCTGCGATGGTAACGGCAGACTGGGTGGGACTAAAAAGTACAATCAATCAATTCCAACTTTGCAAGATCTTTTTTTTCCCCGCGAGAAGTTGAAATTGACTGATTGAATCTTTTTTTTTTTTTTGCACATGGCGGCGGAGGCCTAAAGTGAAAAGATTTTATAAAACCCAGCTGAAGGCCTAGGACTGGGGCGACGGCGCGCATGCCCACAGAGAGGGCTCTGAGTGCTGCCTCTGGCACCTGTGCCATAGGTTCGCCACCACTGCTATAGATTCTTAAATTTAACAAGTTGGAGGACAAAGACGATTTTTTAGGAAAACAATGCTGGGGATTCTATTGCCCTGTGCAATTCTTTGGATTTTCTATAGACATTTTTTAACAGCTCTCATCCCAATCTGTTCTTTCTGGTCAATTGTATTTTCGATCAATGAATGTGACCCTTAGAAAAAAGTTGAAAGTAATTTGGGAAACAAAAGAAATTATGCAAAATGAACACCCCCTTCCAATTTCCTTACTCATCTACTAATAGAAAGGATCGCTTGCTCTAAATTTTGAATTAGGTACTTGCCAAGGCCTGATCATTTTATGTATGTTTTCTGAGTGGACCATTCCTATAACACGTGCAGGAACTGGCAGACCTACAGAGGCAGATCTCGGACACTTCTGTGATTTTGTCCATGGACAACAATCGCTACCTGGACCTCGACAGCATCATTGCTGAAGTCAAAGCCCAGTATGAAGACATTGCAAAGAAAAGCCGAGCTGAGGCTGAAGCTTGGTACCAAAGCAAGGTAAATCAAGGGAGTCGGGTGGGTCAGTTATTACACAGAGTTAGCTGTAAGAGGTGGTCAAATGTTTTCTTCCAGAATTGGAATTTAGCAAAGCCAGGTGTTGGAGGGACATTACCTCTTCTCCTTTCTCATTGTCCCCCCCCAGTCGTTTATTGTAAATTTATTAGTAATCAGGGAAACTGCATGCCATTCTGGCCTCTTGTAGAGTACAAGGGTTGAAAATCTGATTCCCTCCTATTTCTCTTTCAATTTGCTTCAGTGTTTACATGCCTGCTTTCCCAACCTGGTGACCTCAAGAGCACCCTCCATACTTCTCAGTTAGCATTGGCAATGATTTTTGACTAGGAAATCTAAGATTTCCTTTCCAAAGCACACTAAAGCACCAGACTGAGGGAGTCTGGTAGACAAACACACAGATATACTTTCAGAAATGAATAAAACTGACTCATGTAGTTAAATAATAATTAAGCTATGGTGGCTGCTTTCCACCATTTTTTTTATTTTTAGTATGAGGAACTCCAGAGTACTGCTGGAAGGCATAGTGATGATCTTCGTAACGCCAAGCATGAGATTACAGAACTTAACCGCCATGTCCTGAGAGTAAAGGCTGAAACTGAAGGTGTGAAAAAACAGGTAGGTCACTGCATTCTCCCAAAGTTATGATCATACTGTGCTCCCCAGTTGAAAAACTTTACTTTTTCATCCTTAATATAATGCTACCTCCTCTGTGATCATTGCCCTCTTCCTTTTGCAACAGGCTAAATCCCAATGAAACTGCGAGTACCGACAACATTTTTGTATCAAGTACCAAATTCGACAAGTTTTGAAGTAGTCAAATCCCGAGGTACCACTATAGATGAAACACAATAGGACACACATAGACATATCCGGAGGATCTGGTCCACGACTCGGCGGAAAATCAGGCGGCGGCATGGGAGACAACTGCCGC